AATACGCACCGGGTGGCAACTCTGGCACTGGATTTGCAGTCTGCCAAAAGGCGAAGACAAGCCAGCAGCTGGGCCACACTGGGCAACTGTTCCGCCTGTGCCAAGTGTGCTGAAATTTACGAGCTGCTTTATGGCCGCGCACGGACAGGAAAAGTGGACACCCACACACTCCCACACACATACACACACACACACACACACACACACAGCTAGCATTTCACTTGCATCCATTTTGGTGGGCAAAAGTTTTGCGCTTTGTTTTTATTCGCCTCTTGATCACGGACGGTTGTAAAATTTTATTGGTATTATCTGTGGAGCTCTTCACAGCTTTTTATATTGATTAATTGTAAAATATTTATTTATATGCGGCTCGTAATAAATCCATATGAATTGCAAAATGCGTAAATGCATTTGTGAGATATTCATTATATTAATATATTTATGCCATGTAAATAGATGCCAGTTGCATTTGTAAATAATTTTATGAATATTTTTTATGCACTTGCATACAACTGTGTATTGCATTTCCAAATAATTTGTATACTATTTGTTTCCATTTTTATTTGTATGTAAAATTCCATGAAATGCAGTTTAGCATTTTGTACCCAAATCGATTTATAACTTCAATTGCATTAGAGCAATAGCGAAATTGAATTTTACCTTTCTGATTTTCATATTGAAAAGCAGTAGAAATAAATAATAGAATTTTCGCAGAGGTAAATATCATTCAAGGTAAATGAATTTCAACATTTATTATTCCAGCGCAGATAAATTCATTTGAGTATCGAATTCATATATAAAATAACTCGAGTTTTGCATTCAATAAAATGTTTTTCAGAAACTAAAATTCAGCTTGGTTCATCTATCTAAATATTAATATCAAGACATATTTTAACGGGTGACCACATTCCATGAACTATCGAACACAAACCGGACACACTATGCTACAGTGGCAACAAAAATTATTTAGCCATAATTATAAATAAATAGCAAATGCGATTATATTAGGTCTGAGCATATTTGTCATTTATTTCAGATATTCTCGTTTGACAAATTAGTTTGCTGCCCGCAAAATTAGGAGCATTCGCCACAGGAAATGAAACATGAAACCCGAAAATTAATAGCATTAGTGTGTTTCATGCTGTTCAAATTCTGTTGACAGAAATATTTATATGTATATACGCACATAGTTATATGCAGGCGATATAATGAGCCAATTGTTGGCAAACAATTTTGTATTTGCATTTGCATTTCAATTTGCCATTAAACATTTCCCCATGGAAATATTTTGTTTAATTGAATAATGTTCGTATCGCTTTTTGGATCAGGCAGTCAGTCCATAGGTATTACATATATATTAAGCGTGCGTGTGTGTCCATTTGCACAAGTTGTGCACTCAATTGGACAACTGGCTAATTGGCTCAGCAATAAAGTCAACTTCAGTACTAATTATCTATGAACTTCAGTTATCATAAACATTTATAATAAAAAGTTTTTTAAAGTCCCTTACAAGTATTAGTTTTGAAAATGTATACATGCACTAATGCTACATAGCTCTAATGTGCTTTAAAGCTTTTAAGTGTTACTTGAATATACTCTAAAGAGCTTTTAA